TCACGTCTTCTCACTAGAACTCTGAGAATTCCTTTATAAAGCTAGTCACTAGTAAGCATGTGGTAATTATCAGTATGATGACGAAACAATCATCCTGTTCTTCCAGGTTTTCAATGATGATCTAACATCAATCAATTCATGATTTTAATCAAAAAACATAATAATAATCTTTACAACCCCCATACTGATAAACTAATTGAACTGAATTATTAAATTTATAATTCAATTCATCAAAGTTTAATTATTTTTATTAATCGTAAAGAAAAACTTAATAATAAATATTCTCTTTATCAAGTCTCAAGATAATAGAAATCTGTAAATGTTATCTATTCATGTAGTTTATCATTTATATAAATGGAACTATTTATTGAAATATCTTTTTTCTAGATCAATCCTAAAGCATTGAACATGTTTATATATATATATGTATACACTAATTCAAAGATAAAATCTATCTAACCATACAAAAGAGATTTGGTTTTATTCCTTGACAACAATTTTTTCATTAGATTTAGTTCATGATAAGCTTGATTGAAAAATAAAAGATAAATAATATCTGTACCAATTATAGACTACTTATTAAATTAAATACTACTATTAATAACAATTCATTTCTTATAACTTATACTTTATACAATAAAGGAATAGTATTACTAGAGGATTAAATAACTATCTTGGATAGTTAGTTAATAATAGAATGTAGTACTTGTGTTTCAGTTTGTCTTGAATACCTTCACTGAATTGATAAGCATTTCAATAATCAGCTTCTAATAGAGATATTGGTGTATGATTCATGTAAATTCTGTTTTACATAGATGATGTTTGAAGATGTTATGTTCACTATTTAATATTCATTAGAAATTATGAAATGTCCAAGAGTACACAATGCAATTGTTTACAGCATCAAAAATAATAAAAAACACAACTGAAATCTAGTGGGAAAACTTTTCTTTTAGTTAATCAATGAAATCTAATTAATCATATTTTTATGATGCAACCTCACCTTTATTCGATGTTATGCTCCATTCAGAACTTCATCGAATTCAAAAACTGCAGGTTTCTACTAATACTTGACTATAGAAATACAAACCATCAGTATGATTTGCAACTCCTATGATAGAAATAATTCATGTTAGCTTTATTGTTTAAATATTTATGATTATACGTTTGCAGGACATAGGTTAAATTATCAGAGCAATTAGGTGTTGCTATATATGTCAGATTTTAGTACATTACTTTCGTCTTACTTATATACAATATCAAAGAATTTCGTTCACTGATTAACCCATGAGTTGATCTTTTAGACAATATAAGTGAACAAGTTGTTTTACACTTCCAGTAGTTTATAAACCTCTACAACCCCATATTGATAAATATCATATACTCATTAGTTTTTAGCATCCAGAGGAAATTTCCCGCATTTTTATAAGAAGCCGTGAACAGTGGAGCTAAACCATGTCGAGTGTGAGGCATTAACTAATCAAAGACAATGAAAGATGGTCACTCAATATCTTAGATTGATTCGAAATAGATATTAACACTTTTGTATGCTAGATCAATGTTTTGGAGATTAATCGTTGAAACTCGACACTGAAGGCGCTGGGTTAGATTTTCAAGTATGGTACTGGGGGTGTGTACCACTGAGAGTTTCCTTACTATGGACGAAAAAGCCGTATAGTGATTCCAGGTTCTCGTTTGTTGTGTGAATTAGATTGCTTTGTGATTTCAATGAAATTCAACAATTTCTACAACCACATCCTGTTACATTTGCCTGACTGATTTCACTAATTATATTACATTTATACAACATAATCTTGTTGCGTTTGTTGTTTTCAACACTTCAATTAATTATCATGTTAATATATACATATATCTTGTGAATGTTATGATGCCAAAGTTATATTACTAACTAATCAATGCACATAATTAATCATTTTTTTAAAAAATAACCTCTACAAATAATCTCCTATCATTTGCATATACACTTTTTACACTTTGAATATACTATTAGGTCATGTAATAAACTATTTTAGATACCAAGTACTTTTAACCGTCAAATATACATTTATATAAGTTACATTTATTGTGAAACATTAAATTTGATTGTGAAAATTCAAAAAAGAAAATGGTGAAATAACCGAAGTTTTCTTTTGAAGTAAATATATGATTCCAAATCTATACAAAAATATTAGCTAAAAGTAATACGGATCAAACAATCAAAGTAATTTGATTTGTAAAGCTGTGAAATCATTGATTTTTCTTCATTGTATATACATGTAAGCTTATGATAATGAATACATTTCCCACTCATTATATCAATCATATTATTTTATAGCATTAATAAATATAAAGGGTTTTAGTTCAATCAACAACTAGAAATAAATAAAATATCTCATTAAAGATTTGTAGGTCTTTCAGCTAAATATTTTAATATTTATCATATATAAAACTCATTACTAATTCCTTCATATCAAGTGATTCTATCAATTTAATTTTCCTGGGTCCGAATCTCGTGGGGTGCGGGATCGTGGATGCACACTGCTGGAGAGTCCCATATTAGGACGAAACGGCTGTCCAGTGCTTCCAGGTTTTCCATGGTGGTCTAGCTTCAATTGACTTATGATTTCAATCAAAAATTTATATTAGTCTTTTTTATTCTCATATTTTTCATGTTTTATAAATTGTTTACAATGTGTTTACTTTATGCGATGTAGAAATATCGAGTAATGACGTGGATTGTTTGAAACATAACTACGGTAAAAATAAATACACACTAGCTTAATAGGCTGTAATAAAATCTTGGCAAATCAAAGTAAATAAATACTAACATTTATCATGACTTATATGAAGATATATGCAATCACTACAAAAAAGGTTATATTAACTAAAACTATATTTTATATTGGGTGAATTCAGACATAATAAATTGGGCATTCTTTTGAAGTCTTGAATGATGACTAACCTTGTTTCGACTACTTTCTAGTTTAATGATTCGTTAAAGAATATAAGTCTGTTAGAAAATTATTTGGAAAATAAAAAAAAGCTTTAAAGGTTATTTTCATTTATAATGAATGAATAACAAATATCGTTGAATAAGATGTATACATTTCGTTCTGTGTTCACTAAACATTTCATATAAACATACATTTTTTAGACATTCAGATGCAGACTACTCAGTTGGGATCGGCGTGACTATCGTTACCAATGTTTGGAGACTCTGAGTAACATGGCTCAGAATTGATTAAAATGACGTAGGTGTATACACTCTTTATCTTCCCTTAAACTATGAGATTAAAATCGCTTCATATCTTTCTTTCTACGAACTAATTCTTTCTTCTTGTAATATGTCATTATATGCGGTCTTTTTTATATATTACCACCACCAAATTAACTACTTCTATGAATTCGGTGTTCATCTTGTTGTACTAATGAGGTGTGGCAACTTGGAACGATGCACATATGCGCCTGGTCCTACGTTGTAGCTAGCTGACTGAGACATTCCGTAAAAAGATGAATAAGGTGAAAAATATTCCTTTTCAGTTAGATTTTTATCAAAGCTCTCACTCAATATATATAAGACTAAGAGTTTTATTTTTGATCACATTGTGGAGACAAAACATCAGGTTGACCTAAACAATGTTTTTTTAAAAGTTATTTACAATACACCATCAGATTTATCACATGATTTACGGGTTCATCGTTTGTGTATCATCACAGCAATCATAACTCACATCCAGAAGCCTAACTATCGTACTCAAAAGAAGTCCGTACACCTTGGTCATTGACATAGTTCATACAAGCGTGGGTAAGTCTACACTCACAAATTGTCTAAATGTTCCATTAAATTAGGTGTTCCTACAGTTTTAATATTTACCTCCTAAGCCTTATTTAAATTTATTAGTGTCAGTTCTTCACTACATATTTTTGCTACTATTGTCATTAATACCGGACTTTTTATGAAACATTTTATCAACCTCGCAATTATCAATCCTCTGAAATCCTATTCCGTTTCGTTCATTTATCAATTAAGATCTACTTGATTAAATTATATCTTAAGTGGATCAGCGTTTGTCCTTTAATTTATTCTGACAGACATTTAGTGATAAACTATTGAGATGACCATTCCGATTTCAATTATATTGGCAATGTTTTATTAAAAGCGACTATATAAATGTATTTAAACATCACGATGTCTTATGAATTGACTGAATTACAGGTAAATGCTCGAAAAACTCATAATTTTGAATTAACTATTAGCATAGCGTGAGTAGGGATAGCTAAAATAAGCTGATTATAAGACAAAACATCTGCTCCACTATTTATGGCTAGAATCGATTTAGAGTGCTATAATGAAAGTATACTATATAGTATTATTTAAACATATTCAACATATGCTCACTAATGACTGGCTTCAAGAGGTATTTCTTGAAGTTCTAGTGAGACGACATGACCAGTGAAGTTCAATCGGGTCTGTTGTGAGTTATTAAGTCATTGATGACAATGGTAAATGTGTCGCTCAATTTTATGGATTAGTTGAAGTTAGAGAATAATATCATTGAATGAGCACTGCTGAGGAGTCCCATCCTAGGATGAAACGGCCGTTCAGTGTTTTCAGGCTTTCCATAATGGTTTAGTTTCAATTGACCCATGATCTCAAATATTGAAATTGTCATTTAAACGTTCTAATTTTTTTATTCAACACGACTTACACTATTGTTTTTCATTGAAAAGGCAATATTTTCTCATTTTCAAGCACAAAATATTCTTTCATTGTTTGATTATTATTTCTTATGTTAAGCCAACCAGAATGTTGTCTAATCATAAATGGTTATACTTCTATGTATATATAATACAAATATACACAAATATAGAAGACAATAATGATTGATTTTTGAATACCGGCCGGTACATTATTACATCAATTCAGATAAACTTATCAACTAACCAATTGTTAAAACTATTCATTCCTATTGGTCATCATATTTAGACAATTGTGTAGTTACAAATCTATGAAATTATATTTCTTTATATAAAATATAATTTATATTCATATTAAAGATAATAAAGATTTCCTGTAAAATTACATTCATTCAAATAGATTCATAAGAATATAAATGATGTTGACATTGATGCATTATATCTTATACTTAACAATATTTCATTGTATATTGATAAATGGCCAACGTGATGTTCTTGGTAAGTTTTCATAGAACTTGTATAGCTTTCAATGATTTCATTGAATTAATAATATGATATTGTTTCGTAAAAACAAAAACTTGAACAACTTACAAATGAGAAATGAATAGAGAAATGAATTAAAGAAATTCATTTATTTTACAGTGTTATGTAATAGGTAACATTATAAACTGATGAAGTATATTACATAATTGAAACATTTATTAAAATAAATCAATTTTAATGTATAAGTTTTATTTCATAAATAATTCAGTGTTTACTTCAATGGTTGAGATGATGAGTCAGTTGAAGCTAGACCACCATGGAAAACCTGGAAGCACTGGACGGCCGTTTCGTCCTATTGTGGGACTCCTCAGCAGTGCGGATCCACAACATCGCCCCCAACGAGATTCGAACCCAAGACCTCCTGGCTTAGTTAGACAATTCAAAATGTTGGAACAATTAAAAAACAGAATACTTTACATACAAATATCTCTATTAATTTGATTTATTATATGAGATGTTTATTATATTTTAACCAGGCTATATGTCTAATAATTTCATGATGAATTTTGTTTCAATTATTTAACATTAAAAATAAGAATTAAATTTAGTTTCAAATTAGTTTATATTTCGTATTGTTTGCTTGTATCATCCTATTGTTGATTAGGACTGCAATTAATTAGTGTTTTACTAGCATATGTACATCCTGTGCGGATCGCTTTGATATTGCCTTTTGTCATAAGCTTTATAAGCAAAGATAAATAATGACTAGCAGTGGAATCCAGAACGTGTGTTTCGTTCTATTTAAGACTTATCATTTGCATGTATGTGAATCATAGAGTTGATGTTCACTCTGAAACTAGGAACTCAGTACCTTTAGTTTTAAATATCATTACATTATCCACTTACCTACTGATGACGAAATGCACGTCCTGAATTTCACTACCAGCCACCTACCATCTTTTATTTTACACTTTTTTGAAAGTTCTAAATTCATAATCAGTAATTTAATGACATTTGAAAGATATTGCATAAATCAGTTAGTTTCAAAAAGCATAATTGTTAGAAATAAATTTTATTGTATAAACTAGTCCTAATACATCTATTTTGAACGAATTTAAAATAACAGTTGGTTTGACTTATCCAAGATATTGGTCAAATTCTATGATTAAATTGAATTTCTACTTGAGTTGTTGCCATGGTTTCATCAATTTCTCTTAAAGTATGATATAAATTTCAGATCAAAAATATTGTACAAGATTTAGTTAGACACATAATACTTAAATGTTTAAAGAAAATAAGTTTTTCAATCTTTCAATATTTTAAACTATTCATATGCTACAAAATCATCATGTCATAAAAGTATCTCTTCATAATGTGATTCATATAATCTTTGAAATTTCCCTTATATACTTTCTGACTTATTGCATAATAAGTCAATTAGTTGATTTAACGTATTTGAGTTTGAATTGTTATTGTGTATTATACACAAAAATACTATTCTAATTTTATTTATTTATGAATGAAATGATAGTAGTGTTATTTGATGGAGTTTTATTCTCTGAACTGGATAGTTTGTTCGTGGAGCTTTCATAGTAATATCTCAAATTAAGTAATCTACATTGAGATCTAGCTAAATAAATGATAATGATGAAGATGAATCAGTAATACAATAACTATGTATGTTGGTTTTATAATTTAACAGTGAACATTTCCAATACTTTAATTATCAATCTACAGTAATAATGTTTTGAACGAGAACACAAATGGGGACAATCGAATGTATTTGAACCTAAAATTACAGAACATCTTAGTAAAATTTGAGAACTATACTTCATTATTTTTATCAAAAACCAATACACCTATTATCACACCACAAATTTGTACTTTTCGCTTTTCACTTATTATGTAATCATTTTCATAGTTATCATTGAGTCATAAACTGCCTTGATTGATTTAATAATTTCATATATGCATACAAATATTACCATATATTAGAGTAAAGCCTGACGAAGATCTAATCGAAAACAATATTGTTCGCTTATATATGTTATACTGCATTTGCAAAATGTCAATCAATCATCTCAGACTTCATTGTTCCTTCATTTCTATAGAAATTGTTCATTGTTCTCGTTCTCTTTTCTTTTATCTTCTTAACTTTCTGTCACCAAGCATTTTACTTTCGATTCATGATGCATACTACTAATATCTGTCGACATCAGTAGTACATACCATAATAATCTCCACATTTTTTTAAAAATAGATTAAGATTTTGGTGTATTTATAGGATAATAGCTTGAAATCATATCATCTTTTAAAAGTATACACTTTGATCACCATTTATCCGAAATATAAATATATTTACCCATATAGAAACTATATACTGTTTAAAATATGATCAGTAATACTGTTATTTAATTTATAATAAAATAAAGTAACTCACCAATTGTAATAATTAAATGACATTTTCCATTTGATGATATTAAACTACATTCTAATGATATTTGTGCTTATTTTTTTCTCTAGACAAATGTCATGTACATGAAAATCTACTTAACTTATTCATTTTTTCCAACTCATCATTTAAAGAAGAAAACCTTTGTGTAGACTGTATTAATGGCAGAATAATAAAGAATTATACCATATTACAATTATTAATTAGATTTAAATCGAATAATCTTATAACCAGTTCATTAATTAAGATCTAATGCTGTTACAATTAATTCTGTTCATTTTATGTTATCAAGGATTTAATTCAATATTGAATATTAACTAATATTATTTTCAGTATGGGGTTGTAGAGATTATTAAGTTTTTGAGTGAGATCATAAACCGATTGATGTTAGAACAGCATAGAAAACTTGGAAGCACTAGCCTACTGTTTCGTCCTAGTTCGGGACTGCTCAACAGTGCCCATCCACGATTGCGCTTGCGGGATTCAAACCCGGGAACGCTTGACCTCTAGACCGCTGAGCCAGCCCGCATCCAACAGTGTGAATGTCTAACCTCAACCAATCCACAAAATTGCACAACTATCTTCAATTATACTGAGGTAGATACCCGTCTTTACCTAACATGAATTAGCTCTACTGGTCACGACTTCTCAAAAGAACTCTGAGAATTCCCTCATGAAACTAGTCACTTGTGAGCACATAAAGTCTTCATACTGTAACTTACATAATTCATTCGAATAGGTGAACTGCATCGCACTTATGGGTTCACCAAATAACTGGAACACCATACATTTTAAATAATAATACGCTAGCCTCTAAACCTACGGAAGGAAATTAACTATAGAATACAATTACTTCTAGTTGAAACTGTCAAACGAAAACAATTTTTCAATCTTGAGTACTTATGTTACCCAACATTTAAAATATCATGAACGAATGCCTTTTTACTACCCATTTGTATTATGAGTTACACTATTCAATTATAATTGAGGTTTAAAGCATAACAGATACAAGGATAAATCAAATTACTTACAGTAGAATATTGTATTCACACTTTATTTGAATGCGAATAAAATGAATAAAGGAATCGATAAAGTATCAGAACATTACACTAGATAACTTTATTGTAGATAAGGAATGTGTAAATCTGTCAAAATATACTCACTAGACAAATAAATGTATGTGAAATTCTCATACAGTTACCAAGATATAGTTGAGTCACAAATGATTACTCACATTAGTATTTCTAGCTTACTTAGCAAGAAATATATTTTGACCTGCTAAACTGGAACTAAGTTGCCAATGTTTCCAACACATCATGACTACAAAAGACATTTATTGACCATCTATCTAAAATACTTCTAATCATTAATTGTGTACAATTAAATGGAAACGTTCATTATGAGAAAAATGGTAGAATCACTATTTTCATGCTCTACTCCTGCGAAATGGAATACTTTACTTTTCGAACTAAACATCCAACTACTTTAGGCAACTTTCATATTCTCCAAAAAGATAAAATATTGGAGAACAATTGTCGTTTTTTATGCTTATGCGTGAAATTTAAGAGATCATAGATAGTTTTCCAAGCCTTAAGTAAAACACTCATCACGTGATCCTTACATTTTATTAGAATTTCAGTCCATGTCACATTCTGATGAAAACAATCTTCGAATTGACAAAAGACTATCCAAACATTCACAGGTTTTTATAAAGTAGCTAGAACAAAAATACTGTATACAATCCGATTACAACAATCGTATTTATGCTTAAAGATAATCAAGTGGGTATTCGGACATTTTTCATTAGGTAATAATTCACATTATATTTTAGCTTATTCATAGTAAAGAAAAACAACAACGATTTTATGATTTTAACATGTTTAACATAGTATCCCGTTGTGGTGTGGGTTACTTATATCCACACAAGTAGTACATAACGGTGGTCAGGCATAGAATATATTTCAGTAGGTCGATGAAAAATGAACGGGAACGGAATGCAATTGATATGAAAACACATAAACAATGAGATCTGAGACAATGTATCGATGTTTGCAACAGGAACAGTCAAGTTTGAGATGTTGGATTGATATTTTGCAAATGAACGATTTATTATATAGTTCTCAGATTTTATTGAGATGCTTTGTTATTTCGTGTCAAATACATTCGATTGTCCCCACTCGTGTTCGGGTTTACTACATTATTATTTGTTTATTTCATATGACGTTTATAAAGAGAACTTTTAAGAAATGAAATACTTTTTCACTTGAACTCTTATCCATATATTAGTCATAAATCCAATAGTTACTTAGACAGTAAAAGTGAATAGATCTAGAACTACCATTGATCAACACATTTATCCCATGTAGTAATAGGAACAAATAGGTTTTTTTATCTCATATGTTTATATTTATATCAAACATTTATATATTACTAACAATCCCGATAGGTTTTACCCTGGTTAATACATTGATTATAAGTTAGATGGAAAAGTAAATGTTTACTTGAACAAAATATCTTCAATAATATTAGATAACTTTAGTTATATAAAAGAATTCACCAATAT